AATAGAATTAAGTCATTAAACTAACAGAATCAATGAAGCACACTCTGAGACATTTCGTTTAAGTCCAATGTCCTTTCAGGTCTGATTTCCAGTTTTCTTTTCAAGCTGGTAAAGTAGTTTGCAGTTAGGGTCAGTTGCCCCTGGTCTGCTGTGAAGGACAGGCCAGATCACCCTCCATTCACCACTCTGGCCTATGTCTTTATCAAGCTTGTTTCTCCCATTTTGGTGTTGTTACCTTGAACCGCCAGCAGGTGGTGCTATCGCAGCTGCTCGCCCCAGAGGGGGTGCGGCCGGACAGGGACGGCAGAGGCTGCAGATGGCAAGATGGCTGCGTGCCTCAGGGCCGACGGCAGGAGACTTACAGCGGGCAGGACGTCTCGGTCGCAGGAGAGGTGGCAGCGATCCCAGCAGATCTTCACTGAAGGGGCTTGAAGGACTGAAGTGGATCGCCTCTGGCCCGGGTGGTGCGATGTGCTATGGCTGTGGTGGCGGCGGTGGCGGCGGCAGTGGCAGCAGTGGGGGGGGGGGCTGCGGCGGTGGTGGTGCCATTTGCGCTGCAGTGACTGTCCAGTCTGCTGCGATGCCCCAGTGGTGGCAACGGCCGAGCTCCGTATGAAGAGCAGGCTGTGATGTTGGGGTCCGCAGCCCCCGGGACGAGAGCCAGAGACCCACTGCAGTTCTCCTTTGCAGAGGTTTTCACAGACTGGGCTGCCCCGTCGCCATCTTGCCGCTTCCCTCCTGTATTTTTTTAAATTGTTATATAATAGTACATATTTTATGTAGGGAAATTTTTATTGTTCATTATGTCAATAGGATATAAGTGGTGGGTTTTTTTAAAAAAAGCCAAACCTTTCTTTCAACTTGTCTAGAATATCCCAGAATCTTCAGGATGTACACTCAGCTGTTGATGGTTATTAATCATTTTTACGTATTTTTGCTTTGAGAAAATATAAGAACAAAGAACTATCGTAGGCTAATTGTATCCACTTCTTCAAGAATTTATCCTGCTGTGCTTTTTATATTTTTCCTCCACAGAATTTAGCGACAGTCCTCACTTTATAATTCACTTCATTTTTTGAATCCTGAATAGTGAGGGAGCGGTCTGGAATCTCCCCGTCCTGCTTATATGCTTGCTGGATGGCTTGGGGCTAGAATCCTAAACTCTCTGGGCCTTAGTACTTTGGTCATAAAATGACACGGCGGAACTAGCTTTCAGGACCAAATGCTGTAAAGCTCTGAATGTCAAGGACTACATGTTCTAAATTGCTTATGTTTGGGTAGTTTATAGCAGATCTAAACCAGGGACATTTCCTCTCTTAAGGAACATCTGAGAAATTTGTAGACATTTTTGGGGGGAATTAGTATCAGCACAAATTCCATTTCATTTCAGAAGAGTAAAAGTGGCATTATTAAATATTTGCTACAAAAAGGAGGCTCAGGGTCTGATAGGGTTGGAAGCCACTGCTTCGAAGGGTAGCTAGTGTTAACAACAGTAAACAGTTTTGTTATACAAATATGATGACAATATTGGGTTGCTAGATTTTGGTTTGGAGAATTCAGGAAGAGAGCTTGCCAAGGGTCCCCTGACCTTGTGTTCTCATGTGAGACCACAACAGGCTGGAAAGTTGGAAACAGGAGGCTGTGGTGGGGGTTGCCTGTCATCAAAGTTTAGAAAACAACTGTTGAGGGCCCTTGCTCCTGGATATTTCTAGCTGTCTTGCACCAAGGGCTTCTGCTGACGCTGGGGTCTGCCGGGCTGGCTGGCTGACTGCTGGCCGCATGACCTCTGTTTACTTCTCCTGGTTGCAGAATCTTGTGTTCAGGGATGTTCTTGTTGACCAGCACATTCCTCCACACCCTCTGGACCCTATGTGGGAGGTGTCTGCGGATGGTCTCCTTAAAGAAAGCATGAGCCATCAAGCTTGCTGCCTTTAAACTACTTGGCGATACTCTACAGAACTTTTGGTGATGGCCATGGTATTCAGTCAGATTCTCCCTGAGAGTGGTGATATTATCAAGAGTAATGACATTATTTAAAATAGCATTCTCAAAGTGATGGTAAGAGTAATAGCAATCATGGGTTTTAGTAGTACGTAATGTATACCAGGCACTGCGCTAGGGCTTTAATGTTTACAAGGACACCATGAGGCCGGGTGCCTCAGTTTTTATACAGGAAAGACCCAAACAGTTAAGTTACTTGCCAAAGGCCTCACAGCTACCAAGTGACGGAGGCAGGGCTTGAACACGCGGAGGTCTCCCTGGACGTACACGCACGTACGTGTGTGTGTGTGTGTGTGTGTGTGTGTGTGTGTGAGCTGGAGGCTCCCTCTGTCGCCCAGGCTGGAGTGCAGTGGCATGATCACGACTTACCTGAGCCTTGACCTCCTGGGCTCAGACAGTCCTTCTGCCTCGGCCTCCCGAGTAGCTAGAAGTACAGGTATGTGCTACCACACCTGGCTAATTTTTTTATAGAGATGAGGTCTTGCTATGTTGCCCAGGCTGGTCTCCAACCCCTGGGTTCAAGCGATCCTCCTGCCTCAGCCTCCCAAAGTACTGGGATTACAAATATGAGTCACTGTGCCCGGCGTCCCTGCAAAAGCATTCTGTTTTAACTGGGCACCGTGGCTCACGCCTATAATCCCGGCACTTGGGGAGGCTGAGGTGAGAGGATTGCCTGAGGCTACTGGTTTGAGACCAGCCTGGGCAGCTTGGCGAGACCTCATGTCTACAAGAAGTCAAAAAATTAGCCGGGCATGGTGGCGCGTTCCTGTAGTCCCAGCTACTTGGAAGACTGAGGTGGAAGGATCGCCTGAGCCCAGCAGGTTGAGACTGTGGTGGCCGCAAGTGTGCCACTGCACTGCACTCCAGTCTGGGTGCAGAGTGAGACTCTGAATCAAAAAAAAAAAAAGAAAAGAAAATCATTCCGTTGCCCTCGCTAAACTGCCTGAATCCTAAACTCTTGGTACAGAGGGGAGATGTTTTCGATTGTGTGTTTATCTCATTGAACAAGGCCTGATCACCTTGGCATGTGTCGCTGAACCTCGAGCCCGGGAAAGAATTGTGGTGGGTGCCCAAGGGCCCTGCTCATACCGTCATCCTTGGGCTGCAAAAGGCAGCCTCTTGTTCGTTAGCTGAGGAACACCAGCCCACTGGCGGGAGAAGGAACATGATTCCCCGAGGGTTAGCTGTCTGGATCCTTTCCCACAGATATTTTTTTCCCTCTGGTAAAAGTTCAGGGCTACAGTTCCTGTTCATTCCAGTGTGAGAGTTGGCAGCTTGATCAATGACTTCCTGTGCCTTGATAATGAGTGACTTTCCTATTTAAGAGATAAATTTGTATTTTGAAGGTTCAATGCCTTTTGATTTCTTTATAATAGAATTTCATTCCAATTAGTTTCCTAACCATGACCTGTTCCAGGGCTCTTGGCCAAAGTAAATCGTGCTAATGAGGAATAACAGAAACTTCTGGAAAGTCACATGCTCCTCAGTTTAAGTCAGAGATGAGGCCTTGGAAATCATCTAGACCAGCCTTTTCGTTTTATAGATAAGGAAATAGGGTCCCAGGAGAGAAGAAGGAGCCTGTCCAGGATCACGTTGCTCCTTCTGTCTCTTTCAACTGAAATGACCTCCACCGAAGGGAATGAGAAGAGTATCAATTATTCGAAGATATGTAATATCAAAAACTTGACCACATAGGACAGGCACGGTGGCTCACGACTGTAATCCCAGCATTTTGGGAGGCCAAGGAGGGAGGATCTCTTAAACCCAGGGGTTCAAAACCAGCCTGGGCAACATAGCAAGACCTTATCTCTGCAAAAAATAAAAATAAATTAGCCAGGCATGGTGGTGTGCGCCTATGGTCCCAGCTACTCGGGAGGCTGAGGCAGAAGGATTGCCTAGCTCAGGAGGTCGAGGCTGCCCTGAGCCATGGTCATGCAACTATACCCCAGCCTGAGCGACAGAATGAGACCCTGTCTCAAAAACAAAACCCCCAAATTTGACAACCTAAATTCTAGTGCATACCGGACTTGTAGGCTGTCACTAAATATAGCCATTATTAGAATTTAAAAAATTAGTTTTGTGTGCTAGATGTTTAGGACATTTATTTTATTTTATTTTATTATTATTACTATTTTTGAGTTGGAATCTCATTCTGTTGCCCAGGCTGGGGTGCAGTGGCACGCTCATGGCCACCGCAGCCTTGATCTGCTGGGCTCAGGCAATCCTTCTGCCTCAGCCTTCCAAGTAGCCAGAACTACAGGCGCGTGCTATCACACCCAGCTAATTTTTTGATTTATTGTAGAGACGAGGTCTCACCATATTGCCCAGGCTGGTCTCAAACTGGCAGGCTCAGGCAATCCTTTCGCCTCAGCCTCCCGAAGTGCTGGGATTATAGGTTTGGGCCACCGCAACCGGCCCATTTTTAAAATTTTACATGAGGAAGAGTTATGGGTTTTTAAAATTCTTTTTTTATTTTTTATGAAAGTTATACGTGCTCACTTTGTAGAACAGAGTTGGCCAACTTTGTCCTATGGGCCAAATGGGTCCTGTTTTTGCAAATCGGGTTTTATTGGCAGCCAGCCGGCCTGTTCATTGACTGATTCTCCAAAAATGGCAAAATTGAGCTGCTGCGGTAGAGACTTTGGGGCCCACAGAGCCTGAAATCTTTACTATCTGACCTTTTACAGAAAACATTTGCCAAAACCTGCTATAGAATATCTAAAAAAATTACAGAGAAATCACACTAAGAAAATGGTTATTCATAGGTCACCCTCAGAGACGTGGAGTGATTCTAATTTTGACATTCTCATGGCTAAATAGTCTGAAAGTCTCTGATTATTTCCTACGGGTAAGTTCCTAGAAATGGAATTTCTGCGTCCGCGAGTGTGAGTGGCTTTTTGACCCTTGTGCTTCCTGCAGGATTTGCGTACCTTGCCCGATGAAGCAAACAGACAAGAACTCCTTTGCTAATGAGTTTGGTTTTGCTTTCCTTGACTCAGGGGCAGGTTCAAGGTGGTGGTCTGCGTCCTGTCTGCTGTGACAACGTGCCTGGCGTTTGTCAAGCCGGCCATCAACAACATCTCTCTGATGACCCTGGGGGTTCCTTGCACTGCGCTGCTCATCGCAGAGCTGAAGAGGTGGGTGCCATTATTCCCGCCTACCCCGTAGGCTTTTCCCTTGCTGGAAACACACCAGCTCCGAGCTCCTTTCTGCACTCAAGCGGGGAAGGGATTTTATTCTTCGTGAAGCATTTGTTGATGACTGTTGGATTGGAAGCAGGCTTGGTTCAAAATGCTAATGATCTCGTTTTTAGAAATAGAACAGTGGCTGTTTAATGAACGCAGCGTGTCCTAGTGACAAAAGCTAGCTTGGCAGGACTATCTGAGCACCTTGACCATGCTGCTTTAACTTAATTCTATAGAAAGGAGAACAGATTTGTCCATATGAGGAGAGTGAGGGGAAAAGTCTTAAATAGGTTATTGCATTCACACACAGATGGAAAAAAGAAAAATGGATTTCTGTCTACAGGGAAACACTGACTCCAAGCAGACTGCTGTTGACTGTGGTAGCTTCTTGGAGGCTTAGTGTCTTATAGACAGTCGATCAGGTAAAGCCTTTGCTATTTGCTTTAGCATTTTCTGCTGGGAACTTGTGAACTCAGAGTTTAGGTTGACATCCGGAAACATTTTGGTTTAGCCCTTGTTGGTGCATGACTGTCTCCTAGCCCCAACTCAAATACATCTAATCACTGCCCTTATTTCAATACTCTTTGGAAACCCTTTTTTTTCTTTGCAGTCACTCTAAAAATGCACTTTAATTTCTGATTTTCTCACTGTTATGGACATTGAGTCTCTTCACTGAAGTCTTGTAATTGATGTCATTGTGTGCTGGTTGCTCTGCATAACGTGTGACATGAGCTTTCTCTCCTCTTTGTTTTGAGAAGAGATAAACACATCGTCCCAATTGCTTTGTCTCTGGGGGTTGCTTAGATTGTCAGCAATAACAGGCAGAGGTGGTTGAAGAGGTACAGTGTTTGAACTTGCCCTCTGGCAGCTGAAAGATGCCGTCAGGTCTTATCTGGTGGGCTTCTTTGCGTATCCTCCAGGACTGGGTATAAGAGTCTCTTTTCAGAAACAGGCTGAAATTGACCCTAGAAGAGTAACTATGGCAGTGACTCCTTTTGAGTAGAAGAGCAGATAACTGAGTGAACAGCAGAAGGTTCATTCCCTACCCTCTGGCAACCTTAATTTTTAAAAAGTCACCTTTCGAATTCATCACTGGTGTTACTGCTAGAGCCAGGATGATTCTTAGCAACCGCAAGTCTGCCTACTCACGTATCTACCTGCTCACTGGACAAGTGTTTGCTGAGTTCTAAGTGCCAGCTCCTGCCGGCGGGAGAGTCATTAGAATCACTTGGAAGGTGCGTTTGTAAGGAGAGATGCTAGCTCTGCCTATGCAAAGACTGTGATTTTTGGAGGTCTAGACTGGACGTTTGTAGACCCAGCAAGCTCAGTTGTAGATCCAGCAGGCTCAAAACCCCAGTTGCCGAGGGTTGGGCCAAGGGCAGGAGTGGAGCTGGAAGGTATCCCTCTGCTGCCCTCTCTGGCCTGTGAATCCTAAACCACTGTGAATCCTAAACCACTGGGCACCACTGGAAGTTTCTGATGAAGTGATTGGAGATGGTAGGGTAGACAGAAAGGGGGATGACTGCTAATAGAAAGGACTTCTTCTTGGAGCATTGGAAAAATTATAAAATGAGATTGTGGTGATGGTTGAACAACTCTGATATACTAAAAAACCCTGGCCTGTACTCTTTAAATAGATGAATCTTATGGTTTGTGAAATATACATTAATAAAGCTATAAACAAAGCAAGAACCCTTTAAGAACCTGCCCAGGTGGTTCTGTCTGGTGCCCACTTCTGTTAGAGAACCGCCAATCTGTTATAAACTACGCATTTCAAGCATGAGTCTTCCAGAGGAAGCGCCTTCTCTATTTCTGCAGAGCAAATTGGCGTCCGTGACCATGAAGAGAGAGGAAGAATTTATAGCCTCTAACAAATAATTGGTCACCTTATCACCCGACAGACTTAATGCTAAACCTGAAGCCATATGCTTTCCGCAAGCTATGTTTGTTTCTTCTCATGGAGAAAGTTTTCCATAAAGCTCACATCAAGCCATTACCCATCATGGAAATGTTCTCTCCTCCTCTTAGAGATCCAAAACTCTCCTACCTGAGACCTGGCTTTGGAATCCTTTTTGCCGCCACTGTGGCTTCAGGTTTGCCCTGAGCTGAGTGTGTCTACCCGGTGATGACCTTGCAGCCTGGCTGAGGTCCAGGTTGCCATCTGCAGTATGGGACGAAGCCACTTGCTTCTCTGTCTCCTCATGGCCAGGTTTCTTTTCCTTTTTTTTTTTTTTTTGAGTCAGAATCTCACCCCGTCACCCAGGCTGGAATGCAGTGGCAGACTCACGGCCACTCCAGCGTCTACCTGCTGGGCTCTGGTGATCCTTCCGCCTCAGCCTTCCAAGTAGCTGGAACTTCAGGTACGTGCCACCATGCCCAGCTAACTTTTGATTTATTATAGAGATGAGGTCGTGCCAAGATGGCCAGGTTTCTTAAGGGAGCTGTCTTTACAGTCTTCTGTCTTAAATCTCTTGCGATCTGCTTCCTTGTCCATCTTCAGGCTGAAATGTTATCTCAAGGGTCATTCACAACCTTTTCACAAAATTAATTTTTATCAAGTAACTTGTTTCTGTTGTAGAAAAATTGGAGAATACAGACAAGCAAAACAGAAAATAAATGTAGTACTTATTAAATGAAATTAATATTTGATATTACTTAGCGCAGTACATTGCTTATGATTTTTATGCACTAAATAAAAATAGCAAAACCTGTCTTCAGATGAAAATGACTACTAGCCTTTTGCTGTATCTTCTTTTAGTCTTTTAAAAAATCCTTTGCCATCTTATCTGTTTTTTAGAAAAATCTAGTTATATATATTTTATAAAAATTAGGTCATTCTTTTATAAGGTAATATGAAATTTGACTTTCTCACTTAGAAATGTATTGTAGCTGTCTTTCTCTATAAATAAATATATACCTAGTTCCTGATTTTTAATGGCCATATAGAATTTTAATTTACTTTTTTTTCTTTTTTTTGAGTCACTCACAGCAACTGCAGCCTTGACCCGCTGGGCTCAGGTGAAACTTCCACCTGAGCCTTCCAAGTAGCTGGAACCACAGGCGTGCACCACCACGCCTGGCCAATTTTTTGATTTATTGTAGAGATGAGGTTTCACCATGTTCCCCGGGCAGGTCTCCAACCCCCGATCTCAGGAAACCCTCTCACCTCTGCCTCCTAAAGTGCTGGGATTACAGGCTTGAGCCACCATGTCTGGCTTAATTTGCTGTTAATTTAATTAGTTAACTAATTTCCTATTTTTGACCACTTAGGTCATTTCTAGTTTTTAACCATTATAAATATCTCTGTGATGAACGTCTTGGTGTATCTTTATGCATTCATTATATTATTTCTGTAGGCTGTACTAACAGCCTTTTAACTTCTGATAACTGTTTTTCAGCCCTCCCTGTCCTTGGCCTGTCTGAAGAGTCTGACACAGTCAACCTCCCCCTCTGAATTCTCTTCTCTAGGCTTCTGTGATCCCATATGATCCAGATTCTTCTTTTACCTGACTGTTTCTACTCTACTCTTTTGCTCGTTAAAGTAGACATTGTCCAAGATTGTGTCTTCAGTCCTTTTTGTTTGTTTCTTTTTTTTTCTTTGAGTGGGAGTTCCACTGTCACCCAGGCTGGAATGCAGTGGCATGCTCACGGCCACTGCAGCCTCGACCTGTTGGGCTTAGGCGATCCTTCCGCCTCAGGCTTCCAAGTAGCTGGAACTGCAGGCGCGCACCACCTTCCCCAGTTAATTTTTGATTTATTGTAGAGACAAGGTCTCACCAAGTTGCTCAGGCAGGTCTCGAACCCCTGGTCTCAGGCCCTCCTCTTGCCTCCTCCTCGCAAAGTGCTGGGATTACAGGCATGAGCCACCGCGTCCGGCCTTTTTGTTTATTTCTTGAAGGTCTGCTTCATCCCCTTTTGTTTAACTCTCCTCGCTCTGCACCGTTCTCTGCAGTCCATCCTCGTCTCTCTCCAGATGTCCAGTCTCACATTTCCAAGGATCACTGGGTTTCCTGGTCCGACTTCCTGTTCCCTAAACTGTAACAGGCACAGTCCCTGGTTGGCTCCATGCTCTCTCTGCCTACTCTGCCCCCTATTGTCCCTTCCCAGTCCCTGTTCTAGTGCCCGGATTGTTTTAATGTTATCACTGCTCTCCAAGTCCATTAGACTTGATGTCCTACAGTGCCGCTAGGTCCCTCCTCGCCTCCTGCCGCCTCAAAGGATTGCTGGGTCTCATTGTGCCTCCCTCTGCAAGGTCTCATCTGTCACCTCTTCCCATGTCGACCGCCCACCCTCACACCTCTCCAGAGGGCCGTTGCTTCTGTTTTCTGACTGGTCTTGTCTTTCTCCGGGTCCCTTCCTTCAGAGGGTCTTTTGCATGTCGCTCCCTCATCCTTGCACAAAACCCTTGGTGGCTCCTTGCTGTCTAAGCTTCCCTTAGAACTTTTTCTTTCTCTGGCACTCTCTACGTGCCTGTGACCAGCCAGTCTAGACAGGCTCATTGTTTTCTTGTCTTCAGGCTTTTGTCATCCTTCTTCCCCTGGAATGCCCTTTCCCACTCCTACCGGGCAAAATCCTGCCCCTTGTGCAGTGCCCATCCTGGGTGCCAGCTCCCTCATGAGGCCTTTCCTGACTCCTCATCCCCTCAGTTAAATGTGATTGTCCCCTTTGTGGTCTCACACTGTACTTAGAATACTCTCCCTTAAGTATAATCCTTGTCTCCTCCTGCTCTTCCTCCCTGGTGTTGCAACCTTCAAAGGCAGACATTATTCTTTGTTGCTCTGTGGATTTTCTGCGGTGCCCATTATCTCTGAAAATTCAAACGTCTGTATTGCCCAGTTGTTTGCTAAGTACCACTAACTTTTCTTAGCACAGAACCATGGGATTCCTTGAAAATCCATCAGTGATAGGGCCGGGTGCAGTGGCTCAAGCATGTAATTCCAGCACTTTGAGAGGGTGAGGCGAGAGGATTGTCTGAGCCCAGGGGTTCAAGACCAGCTGGGCAACTTGGTGAGACCTCGTCTCTACAATAAATCAAAATATTAGCTGGTCGTGGTGGCGTGTGCCTGTAGTTCCGGCTGCTTGGAAGGCTGAGGTGGAAGGATCACCTGAACCCAGCAGGTCGAGGCTGTGGTGACCAAACCAATGGACTCAGGCAATCCTCTCACCTCTGCCTCCCAAAGTGCGGGGATTATAGGAGTGCGCCATGAGTAAATTGCTTGCAGGTGAGGTTTGGGTTTCTGGCCAGCCCTCTCTCCCCATGGCACCCAGTGGACAGCTGTGAACCCCTCATCCTCCTCCCTCCCCACTTCCTTCCTCCTTCCTCTCATTAGCAGTTCCCAGCGTAAGCTGTTTCACATTTGTTAGCAGTTCCCAGCGTAAGCTGTTTCACATTTGTGCTCACCAGCCCAGTGTTTAGGACCGACTTATGAGTGAGACCATGAGTTCTTCTGTTCTGCTTCCGTGATGGTTCACTTTTAATGAAGGTCTTTAACTGCATCCGTGTAGCTTCAAAGGACATGATTTTGTTCTTCTTTATGGCTGCATAGTATTCCTAGATGTTACAGATCTTGAAGCAGTTTGGCAAACACATAATTAAATTGCTGGTGAAGACATCTGAAATGGATTCCCATTTGTTGCATTCTGTCCACTGGTGCTGGCTTATATTAGGCCCGAAGTGAATAAAATGTTCTGGATTTAGCTGTGTTTCTTGAGAACTCATTGCACTCTAGTTTCATTTTGACTCTTGAGTCTAATAATGTTTTAGCCTATAATTTTGTTAAAAACTAGCTTAAGAGGCCAGGCGTGGTGGCTCATGCCTATAATCCCAGCACTTCGGGAGGCCGAGGTGAGAGAATTTCTTGAGCCCACGGGTTCAAGACCAGCCCGGGCAACTTGGTGAGACCTTGTCTCTACAGTAAATCAAAAAGTTAGCCAGGTGTGGTGGTGCATGCCTGTAGTTCTGGCTACTTGGAAGGCTGAGGTGGGAGGGTCGCCTGAGCCCAGCAGGTTGAGGCTACAGTGGCCATAAGTGTGCCACTGCACTCCAGCCTGGGTGACAGAGTGAGACTTCACCTCAAAAAAAAAAAAAAGCTTAAGAAAAGGGAAAATAAGACCCAAGCAAGAGCAAATGGGGCAGCTGCTTTGGCCACCTGTGTCTTCAGTGGGCCTCTGTTCAGCCAGCCCCAGGCCCTTGTTCATACCATTCCTCTTCCAGACGCTTCTACTTGGCTGACTTCTCATCCTTTGGTTGTTTCCCTGCCGAGAGGATGCCCTACAGCGTCTCCTTGCAGGTCATCTACCCTCTCTTGTGTCCAAGCTCAGTGTTCCTCACAGCTCCTCCCTCTGCTCGGAGGAAATAGGCGAGGGGGCTGGCTTTCAGCTTTCTGTTTGTCTTTGGTCTTCATCCTAAAGCTTGTTTCTAGTCTTTTCACTTTTTAATTTTTTTTTTACCAGTTTTCTGAGAAGTGTTTGCATTGTCCTTCCTGAACCTTCTCTCAGACCATGAGAAAACAAAAGTTTATTCTGCTGTGGGGTTATGATCTGACATTTATTGGGATTGGTGGTGTCGATCACGCCACTGAGTGACGCAACTACGTTTGAAATATTTTAAACTCTGCTACTTCTGATTATGGGAGTGATTTTGTTGTTAAGAAAAACTTGGAGAAGACATTCAAAGGCCAAGAAGAGAAGAAATGATAGACATCCCCCTTAGGTGTTTTACCCTAAAACAGGGTCCTGCTGTATATGTGATTTCTGGCCCACTTTTTCTCTCTTTGCCTCATGTTACTATTTTGATAAAAGCTCTGAGAACTGGGCATGACACCTGATGGAGCCCAGGTCTGGACTTGCCCCAAGTGCAGATAAGCCCGGGCAGCAGCTGATAGCAGGCCTCGCTCCCTGTGGAAGCAGAGGAAGGACAGCAGACCCTGGCTCTGCAAATTGGAGTTAAGCTTCTTCTCAGTGCAGGTGTCGTGTTGGGCTCTGAGTCCTGTAAGAGGTCTTGACCAAGCCAGGGAGTGGTCCACTGAAGGAAAGAGACCCTAAGGAAAGGCCTTAGAATTCCATAACAAGGAGAGAAGATAGCGTTTTTGTGAGCTATTAGGATTATTTCAGAAAAGTATTTTGTTCCAGTGTTTAGAACCTATTTCTTCAAGAAATGACAAGCACCTTCTCTGTGTCTGGCACTGTTCCAGGTGCTGGGATACAGTTTACATGTCAGTGGATGGAGACACTGGAAACAAATAAGTAAAACATAGAGGGTTGGCCCGACTCAGTGGCTCAGCCTGTAATCCCAGCACTTTGGGAGGCCAAGGCAAATGGATTGCCTGAACCTGAGGGTTCGAGACCAGCCCGGGCGACTTAGTGAAACCTCGTCTCTACGATGGATAAAAAAATTAGCTGGGCATGGTAGTGCATGCCTGTAGTTCTGGCTACTTGGAGGGCTGGGGTGGAAGGATCGTTGGAGCCCAGCGCTGGGGTGGAAGGATCACTGGAGCCCAGCAGGTTGACGCTGGAGTGGCCATGAGTGTGCCACAGCACTTCAGCCTGAGTGACAGAGTGAGATTCCAACTCAAAAACAAAACAAAACAAACAAAAAAAACAAAACAAAAAAAAATAGGGGGTGTCAGAGTATTATAGTCGCTACAGATAAAATTAAAGGAGAGAAGGAGGTGACAGGGAGGGTGGCTGTGGAGGTGGAGACAGCTGTCATAATTGTTAAAGAGAGTAATTAGGGCCAGGTGTGGTGGCTCATGCCTGTAATCCCAGCACTTTGGGAGGCCAGATTGCCTAAGGCCAGGCATTCAAGACCAGCCTGAGCAACATGGCGAGATCTCATCTCTAAAGAAACCAAAAAAAAATTAGCTGGGTATCATGGTACGTGCCTGTAGTTTCAACTACTCGGGAGGCTGAAGTGGAAGAATCGCCTGAGCCCAGGAGGTTGAGGCTGCGGTGAGCCATGACTGTACCGCTGCACTCTAGTCTGGGCAACAGAGTGAGACCCTGACTCAAAAATAAAAATGCAAAAATATTAAATAGTGGTTAGGCGTATAGAGTGGCATTTGAGCAGAGACTTGAAGATGGGGAGTCATGTGACTATCTGGAGAAAGAGCATTCCAGGCAGATGCTGTGGCAAGTGTTGAGCCTTGCAGGAGCATGCCTGGGCTATCTGAGGAACAGCACGGGTCCCCTGAGGGCCTGAGCAGGGGCAGCGAGGGGCAGGAGCACCTAGGAGAGGAGTGAGGAGGGAAAGGGAAACCTCACCCTCTGGTTGAAGGGGATGGCACTGAAGGCTTCCGAGAAGAGGGTGGAAAATGGGCAGCAGGGTCGAGGGTGGCTGAGGTGATGGGAGCTTGGATCCAGGTGGAGGTGGTGAGGAGAGGTCAGATTTTGAAGGTAGGGCTCCTGGACTGGATGCAGGCTGTGTGAGACAGGGAAGGACAGGGAGAAGAATTATGGGTTATGGGCTGGCCGTGGTGGCTCACACCTATAATCCCAGCTCTTAGGGAGGCTGCGGTGAGAGGATTGCCCGAGCCCATGGGTTCGAGACCAGCCTGGGCAATTTGGCGAGACCTCATCTCTATAGTAGATAAATTAAAAAAAAAATTCGCCAGGCATGGTGGCGCATGCCTGTAGTTCCAGCTACTTGGAAGACTGAAGTGGAAGGATCACCTGAGCCCAGCAGGTTGAGGCTGTGGCTGCTGTGAGCATACCACTGCACTCCAGCCTGGGCGACAGAGTGAGACTCCTGCTCAAAAAAGAAAAAAAAAAGAATTATGGGTTATGGGTATACTCCACTGACTTCCATATCAGATGTCAGCGTGCACATGCCAGGAGAATCGCTGGGTGTCTGGAGTCAGAGGTGAGGCCTGGGAGAGGGGATGTCTCTGGGAGCCTTCTGTTCCATACAATATTTACGTCCCACTCCCCAGTCTCAGGGACGTAAATACTGTATGGAACCAGAAGGGTAGGAAGGATCTCCAGCACCGAGGGGTGAGGCCCACCAGAGGAACCAGAGAAGGAGACAGAAGAGGTGGCCAGGGAGGCAGGTGGAAGCCAGGACTGACGGCGGCTCGCTCTCCGGATCCCCATGCAGGTGTGACAACGTGCGTGTGTTCAAGCTGGGTCTCTTCTCCGGCCTCTGGTGGACCCTTGCCCTATTCTGCTGGATCAGTGACCGAGCCTTCTGCGAGCTCCTGTCGTCCTTCCACTTTCCCTACCTGCACTGTGTGTGGTGAGCCCCTGGCGTGGGGAGCTGGCTGGGAGGCTGGTGCTGGCACTTGCCGTTGGGCCCTGTCCGCCCTGCAAGGGGCACAGGTGTGTTCGGGGACGACGAGGAGCCCCAGCCCACCTCACTCCTTACTGGGCTGTCAGATGGTTTAGACAGTAGGCTGTAAAAAGCTGAACTGGCTCCAGGGAGCAGGCGCAGGCCGAACAAAGGCCTAATTGTCATACCTCCTCGGTCTGGTCCGGGTCTGGGTCCGGGTCCACAGTCTCTTGCTTCTAGCTCCATTATTAAAGCACCGGGGTGCTGAAAACTGAATTGGGAACCTGAGCTGTGGGGGTGGGAGTAGGGGAGGGGACGCTGGGAGCAGAGGTGATGTCTGGCATGGTCCTCAGTGGAAACCACACCTTTGGGGCCTGAGTGACCAGGTGAAGCCGAGGCCGCACAGGTCATTTGGGGACAGCTTCCCCGTGCTTTTTATAGGTGGAGACAGAAGACCAGAGAACTAAAGTAAATTGTTTAATTTCCCCCACCATCTTTATATAAAAATAATCTTGGCGTTCAACAGTAGCATACTGGAACTTCTACACTTTGGAATGCTCAGGATACACTGTTTTGTTTTTTTTTTCTTTTTGAGTCACAGTCTCTGTTGCCTAGGCTGGAGTGCAGTGGCTTACCCATGGCTATTGCAGCCTCGACCTGCTGGGCTCAGGCAATCCTTCTGCCTCAGCTTTCCAAATAGCTGGAACTATAGGCATGCACCACCACGCCCAGTTAATTTTTTGATTTGTTGTAGAGAGAAGGTCTTACCAAGTTACCCGGGCTGGTCTCGAACCCGTGGGCTCAGGCAATCCTCTCACCTCGGCCTCCCAAGTGCTGGGATTTCAGGCGTAGGCCACCATGCCCAGCCTGGGCATCTTTTCAAACACAGATTTGCTGTGTGTATTTCCTTTTTTGCAATGTGCCTTTTAATTTTCTTTGTCTTTTCTACTGAGTATTTCTATTTTAAAAAATGTATATCTAGCACAGAGGCTTGGCACTCCGTAGACAGTCGTTACTGTCTACAAAACGATGTGCTATTTATCGTGCAAATTGCAACATTTTCAAAAGTACAGAGGGTAGTACATTGAGCCCCATGCAGCCAGCACCCAGCTTCCATAATGACCAACACGAGACCTATCTTGTCCCTGCCACCCTTGCCCACCACCCATTTGTGACCCCGTTTATTTTAAGGCACATCCCAGACATCATATGAAATGATTACTTTTTTCAATGTTCTTTGTATGGAGGATTTTTTTTTTTTTTGAGTTGGAGTCTCACTTTGTCGCCCAGACTGGAGTGCAGTGGCCGCTCCCGACACCGCAGCCTCGACTGCTGGGCTCCGGCGATCCTTCCGCCTCAACCTTTCCGAGTAGCTGGAACTACAGGCGCGCGCTACCATGCCCGGCTAATTTTTGATTTATTGTAGAGATGAGGTCTTGCTGCCCAGGCGGGTCTCGAATCCACAGGCTCAGGCAATCCACTCACCTCAGCCTCCCAAAGCGCTGGCATTACAGGCTGAGCCACTGAGCCCTGCCTGTATGGAGGAATTTAAACTTCTTGTCATATGGTGCACATATATTCCCGTTTCCCATTTGTCTTTCAGTTTGTTACTGATATTTTTGTGGCATAGTGATATCAAATGTTCACATTTGTTGGTCTTTTCTTTAGGGTTTCTGGACTTTGTGTCATTCTAAAAAAGGCCACTGCCCCACCAAAGTTTTTATAAAAATCTTTTATTTGAACATATTTAAAAATATATTATAAAATTTGAATTCATCTGGGATTAAAAGTCAATATAGAGTACAAGAAAAGTTTATACGCCTTTAAATGGTCCATTGCTTGGTAAAGATTAGTATTAAATTAAAACTTTTTACAGGCACAGTGAGGATAAATTAAAAAGAAGTTCCCACTAAATTGCAAAATCTGTTTAATCAGCATAAAAATTATTCCTAGGCTGGGCGCAGGTGGCTCATGCGTGTAATCCCAGTACTTTGGGAGGCCAAGGCGAGAGGATCGCTTGAGCCCAGGGGTTCAAGACCAGCCTAAGCAACATAGTGAGACCCAGTCTCTATTGTTTTTTTTGAGTCAGAGTCTCACTCTGTTGCCCAGGCTGGAGTGCAGGGGTATGCTCATGGCCAGTGCTGCCTCAACCTGCTGGGCTCAGTTGATCCTTCTGCCTCAGCCTTCCAAGTAGCTGGAACTGCAGGCACATGGCACTATGCCCGGCTAATTTATCTTTTTTAAATTTATTATAGAAATGAGGTCTCGCCAAGTTGTCCAGGCTGGTCTCGAACCCGTGGGCTCAGGCAATCCTCTCACCTTGGCCTCCCAAAGTGCTAGGGTTATAGATGTGAGCCACCACACCTAGCCCGGTCTCCATTTTTTAAAAAAGAAAAATTTTTCCTGATGAAGGGGCTAAAATATCGATAACTAGTTGTTAAAGTGAGAAGGTGGCAGCTCATCAGAGGTGTTCATTTACTTCCATCTTTGTGCCTCTGTTTTAAATTCTTGGGACCCTGTCTTCTTGGTTGGGGCCCAGAGATGTTTTACGCATGCTTATTCCTATGATCAAGCGGGAATAATTTAGAATATTCTAAGATGGGCCCGAATCACAGCCTGTGATTCCAGGGATTATGGGCCCCTTCCTAGTGAGAAGAGGCCCCTGGGCTGTAGTAACAGAGGGGAAAGATGGGTTAGCCCAGAAGAAGGAGCCAGCTAGCTGAAGGCCCTGGAGCCTTCACCCGTTCTCACTCCCATCTTTCCTTGCAGGCACATCCTCATCTGCCTGGCTGCCTACCTGGGCTGTGTGTGCTTTGCCTACTTCGATGCGGCCTCGGAGATCCCGGAGCAAGGCCCTGTCATCAAGTTCTGGCCCAGCGAGAAGTGGGCCTTCATCGGGGTCCCCTATGTGTCCCTCCTGTGCGCCAGCAAGAAATCGTCGGTCAAGATCACGTGATGGCAAAGTGGTGGCTGGCTTCTCTGCTTATTTTCCCTTGTGCACTGGGCTTCCTCTGCTAGCAAAGACAGCCGAGGGCTTTCGAAGAGTTGGGGTGTGGCCTGTTTTTAAAAAAATTCTGTCCCCTTGGTTGGGCTCTAACTAGGATGTCTGTGGGTGCCAGGATCCCACTGTGTGTGGACAAAAAGTGAGTGTCTTTCCCTGTCCCAGAGATGGCAAGTAGAAGGCTCAGGGACACAAGGTGTAGCTTTCTTGGCATCACTTCCAGATGCAGTGGCTTTTCGGGCCATAGCAGAGTGGGCCGGTGGGGGACCGAGCCCTGCACACTGGAGAAGGTTGACCAGCCCTGGACCCCCACCATTCCCAGCTTCTCTGGCGCGGACTCTGCTGATGACAGACAAACTCTCTGACGGGCAAGACTCTCTGACTCTCCAATGGAAGATGCAGACAGGTTTTCTTTTCTTTTTTCTTTTTTGGCGTTGGAGTCTCACTCTGCCACCCAGGTTGGAGTGCAGCGGCACGCTCCCAGCCACCGCAGCCTCGACCTGCTGGGCTCCGGCGATCCTTCCGCCTCAGCCTTCCACGCAACCAGAACTACAGGTGCACACTACCACACCCCGCTAGTTTTTTGATTTTGAGGTCTCACCATGTTGCCCAGGCTGGTCTCGAACCTGTGGGCTCAGGCAGTCCTCCCGCCTCAGCCTCCCAAAGTGCTGGGATTATAGGCTTGAGCCACACCGCGCCTGGCCGACAGAGATTTTCATCGGGGCAGACTGTCCTTAAACAAAACCAAACACATGAAACACACACAGGGCTTGTGGCTAAAAAGGCTGGTTTTTCACTTGGAACTCTCAACTCACCTACTAGGTTTTACACACATTTGGGAATCCTCTGTGGAAAGACGGATGCTTCACTTCAAATGAGGGTGAAGCCAAGCAGTATAAACCCTCGATGCCAAAACTGACGCTCTTCTTTAGGCTGTTCTTGAAGATGAGCACAGTCCATGAATACTGACATCATGTCTGCCTCCTGCCTCCCACCCCAGCTTGGTAGCCTCGAATACACAGAGGAGGCTAGCTGTGGCGTGGATGGTCCCACAGACCCCCATGCCCCTTGTGACTTTACCAGAGGGCACCTGATGACGGTGGTGTGGGTTCTGGTTCAAAATGTGGAGCACGCATGACGTTTCTGGAGACCTTTTCTCCTTTGAAGCCCCAGGACACTATTACACTTTTCTGGAAACTCCCTTCAAGAATCTCACCTCTTCTTTCTCTGATATCTTCCCTGTGCCTCGTGTTCCTCACTCTCACAGTCCAAGGTGCTTCCCGGGGTTTCTCTGAGCGTTTGGCTGCTCACTTTCCCAAGTGCTGGCAATAACTATACACACACTGGCTGGTGTGGGCTGTCGGTGCAGCCGGGCAGATCTGTTGCCTTTTCCTCACCTCACGTGACTCTGGCTACAACTAATCTCCTCTTCACTGGACTGAATGGAAGCTTCCAAACCTGTCCTCAAGGTGCACAGTGGGAATTATCGACCTCAGGGATACTCATTTTAACTCAGGCATCTCCTGCTTTGTGACATTCCGTTGTCGGGAGAGGGCAGGACAGGCGTGTCCTTGCGTGGGCAGGAGTCGTGTCACTGTCCTAAGTATCTGAGAGTTGGGAAGTAGCAGTTTTTGCCACATCCAGAAAGTCTTAACGCTGGTTAGAATTTGCACAGGATCCGAGGTGAAGAGTTTAAGACTGAGTGACTCTGCTAGACCTCTGAGATGATCCAATTGTTTCGCAGCAGAACCATTTGCAGTCAGAAGTCTTTGTGAGACCCTAATGTGTGCAATAAATTACATTTTATTGACTTAGGTTAAATTTATAGCATTTACTTAATGATCTATCAGGCGTGAAAATGCAAATGAGCAAATTGGTAATTTCCAAGGTTGAAAAATTTGTATTGAATGAGTGTATATGTTGCTTCATTATAGTTTTAAAAATATTTTTTAAATGATCTTTGAATGAACTACTTGTGGGTCCTCGAATGCACTCTCTGTGACCTAGGTAGCTGATGGAACAGAGCTGATGTTGAGTCCTTTGGGTTTGAAGTCTAGAATTTTTAAGAGGCGAATATCAGACCATCCTCACGTCAGATTGACCTTATCAGGCATGGATTCTGGTATCGTCTATTTTACAGTATAAAATTGTTCTGAAGTAGAGAGTTTGGTGTATTATAAACCCAGTTGTCTTTATGTGGAGGCATAAGTAGGACGCAAAATGCAGGACATGATTTGTGTGTGTGTGAGGTTTAATTTGTCTTGAGGGTTCCTTAGTGCCAGGAGCATTGTCCCTATAGTGGAGGAGGGATCATTTCTCCTATCAGGTAAAGGGCTTTTCCCCTGAAGTCCCAGGTGACACCCCACCTCCAGCTCCCAGAAAAGGGGATAAAATGTTACTGCTGAGTGAGCTGTGATTGTGCCACTGCACTCCAGCCTTGGCAGCATAACAAGACTCTGTCTCTTACAAAAAAGTTACTGCGGGGTGTATTTGCAGAGGCCTGGAAGTAGGAAGAGCCCTGACTCACTGGGCTAATTCCATCCCTCTTCTAGAAGACATATGGTTAAGTGAAGATGTCAGAAGCTTGATTCTAAAGAGATGAGAGCTGAGAAGGAAATGTGGGGTGGGTTGTATTTGAGGAGGACAAACATCGCTTCACCTCTGAACAGAAATCACTCGAGCTAGCCGGTGTGGGCTGGAAATCGAGAGAGTAGAGAGAGATACACCTATCTTGTTTGACACTGGGTTGATGGCAATATTCATATTTATGTGAAAGCACTGCAGACTCTTTCTAGAAAATTGAGAAATGACAAACATTGAAGAAGAAGGCGGTAACCCCTATTTCTGTTACCCAGGTTTTCTCATTGTTAATGTGTTGGTATGTGGATATATTCTCATCTTTCTTTTTTTCTAATGTATTTGTAAATAGATGTCTTTTAGAGTTGACATTTATCCTGTAGCTTGAATGGAATATAAGTGCCAGTTGTATATTTTTCATGAAGAGCAGGTTAACCAGAATCAGCTGTGCACTCGAATGCTAATCACTGGATTCCAAGACTTGCTACTGAATCTTCCTTGTAATCAAGCCTGACATAATGGGCCCTAAGAAGTCCCGAACTGAATTCTGCTCTTTGATGTGCTACTGCACCTGGATTGATGAGTCATAGTAAGTAGCTATTAAATATGTGACTTTGCAGATTTTGATGTGTTCAGGTTTTTTTAAAAAAAGAATAGCTTATTTCATTAATTGATGTGCAATCGAGAATCTCCCGCCCCTCAATAGATTTGTCATTTAGGAGTTAAGTCACGGTGGTGGTTCTTCAGCACGGCTATCCGATTTCGTTCTGGTTAGAATTTGCCCAGATCAATACCCAGCAGAAACTGGATTTAGGATATAAAAAAAAAATTGATGTTACCAGGTGATCATGTCAGTCAGTGATTCTTGTTTTACGGTGTTGGGTTGATGGGTTGGTTATTAGAAAAAGTAATCCTGTCTTCCTTTTATGATGATGATAATATCACACAAGCCCTTCCGGTGTGTGGAGATGAGATATCTGAATCCATTTGGTAACAGGCTACATTTTGGGAGACCTCTGTGCCTGCCCAGTGAAGAGTACCTAAGATATCAATTTTGAATCACAGGTATCCTGTTGGGGGACAAAGCCTAATGGTCCTCAAACATGGACCACCTAAAAATATGGCCACCTGTTCCACTCACTGGATTTCTCAGGTGTGTCAGCTCTCTCCAGTTCCTCACGGATTCTGGCTCTGTATCCCTTGGGGACTGACAGGGAACCCCTTGGGGGAACAGATAAGGGCTGAAGCTTGCCCAGCCAGGACCTTCTAGCTACCCGCCTTGACCCCCATGAATTGGCAAACTTTCCTAGCAAAGGCTTTGCCTGGTGCTGTTGTTCCAGCTGGCCAAATAGATGTCTTGGGCCAGATTGGGATTCTCAGTGGATTTTGTAGACATCCCTCTCCTGTAGACTTAAAAACAAATGGCCCCTACTCTTAGGGGCTCCTTGTCTGAATTATATCTTCCCCTATGTGTTAAACCAGATTGAAGACTATTTTATAATATGTAATCAGAGCTAATAGAATATTTTGAGATTTATACCTTGTCTATACCTTTGGTGGGGTGTGCTGTATGAGGGTGGTTGTGGTCAAATTTAATCTCCATTGCTTTGAGAATGATTTAAGGAAATGGAATTTTGCACTTTATGCTCTTTCTGTGAACTGACTATGATCACTGTGTTTGATATGAAAGCCGTAAGTGGCATTTTCTGCAAATGAATATGTTAGTGTCTATTTCCAAAATTATTTATGAAGTATCTGCAGTGAAAATGTGTCTAGCGGGTTGTCCAGCAAATCACATTGGCCTAAATTCATCTGTTGCTGCATCTGTATGCCACTGTTATTAAACATGCTTACAATAAGTGTAGTTAATTGTTGTTTTTTTCCTCAGAGCTATGAAATTAATACATCTAACTATCTCTAGCATAAAGCACCCAGTTTCTTTTTATTAAAAGTTTTATAATTGTGTCATGTACATATAAATCTCAAGTATAGAAAACTGTTCATTGTGTTGGATTTCACCCAGTCACTAAGAGAAGGATCTCGTGATGTCTCAAAATCATAAACACCTTTAGCAGAAACATCCATAACCTACTTACTCATCTCTTCTACTTTGCTGGGACAGTTTTTTTCAAATTAAAGGATTCATGGATGAGCAGATTTAAAAGAATAAAATTACCATTAGAGAAGAAAGACTGAAGAAGCATTGTAAGTTTCTTTTTTGGGGGAGGGACAAGGGGACCGGGTGACCCCAGAGTTATTCGACACTCCGATGAAAGCTCTAGGAAAATGCCCAAGGGCAGGCTGATCATCTCTAATCTGAAAATCCCAAGCGCTACAAAATCCGGAATTTTTTGAGCGCCAACAGGACTCTCAGAGGA